GCTCTGCCGTCGCCACCAAAACCCGAAAGGCTCGAGCCCGTAAGTGTCCCCTTCGCTCCTCCCCGACACCCCCACCCTCCTTGGGCGCTCTGCCGCCGCAGCTGCTCAAATGGAGTGGAAAATGGCCATTGGGCGGCAATGAGTTATAGATTATCTGCTCCACGTTTTGTACTTAGCTGCCTGTAATCTTCTTTGAGTTTGCCCAAGCCCCTTGCTGGAAAAATCAGGAGGGAGAGATTTGTCCTTTGCTGCTGTACACGCTAATATGTTTATATGATTAGCCGAACTCCGGTGGGGAGGGGGGTAGGTGGGGATTTGGTGGGGAGGAGGAGGAGGAGGCTTGAGGTGACTCCAGTTCAGACCTCTCCGAGAGTCTGTGTCAGGACTTCGCACTCCCCCGTCTCTGTGCCTCTCCTCTCCCTCTCTCCCCTCTCTCCCTCTCACTCTCTCTCCGCTCACACACACGCAGAGGTGCTGGAGCAAAATCGGGAGCTTACCGGAGAATTCTTTGGGATTGTTGGGGGCATCTCCCCTCCGTTGCTGTGCGTGGCGTGACTCTCCCTTGATCCTCCCTGCTTCCCCGAACCTGAGTTCTCGTCTTCAACCTTTCGTGGTGCAGCGGCCACCGCTCAAACCTCGGCTGGGAGATCCGAAATGTGAGGAGGGGCCGCTGCTGTCTCCTGCCCCGGGCCGCAGGGTCGGCGCGAGGGATGCCAGTGCGGACGGCGGGCTGAGGGGCTCTGCCTGACAAACTGAGTTGGCCTCGTGCCGCGGGCGTCTACTCGCCTGCCCCTCCCGTGGCTGCCGCTTCGAGGGGACTCCCAAGTCTGTGCACCTCTGTCAGGCTTTCGCCTCCACCACCCCTTTTGCTCTGATTCCCGAATTTTTTTTTCTTCTACTAAGGGAGCGTGCAGTCAGGGGGTGCGTGCGCGTGTGTGAAAAGACCTCTTTCGCCGAGCGGCGTGTGGGAAACTGCGGGAAAATGTTGACTTAACCCCTGGAGCCGCCCGGCGCTGGCTGCTTGGCTGGAGGCGGCAGCGGCGGCCGAGCAGGAGGACCCGCCGAGCCGTGGGGCCGTGTCCGGCCGGCAAGCCGCGGCGCTGCCTCCCGCGCGGACTCCGCAGCCGGCGACCCGCTCGCGGAGGGCTTCGGCCTTCTCCAGCCACCCGGCTGCTGCCCTCTGCGCCTCTCCCTTCGCGCGGCCCCCGTGCCAGACGGCCCTCCCCCGGGGCACGCTCTCAGACCGAGGTAAGAGCCGCGGGAGCGAACAATCGTACCTCTGTGCCCGGCTTCGGAGACCTGTTTGCTTTGCGCCTCCTGCCTGGGGGGTGGGTGCTGGAGGTGGAGGGAACCGCGGTTTAGTTGGGCTCTGCTGTCTCTGTTCCGCCGGGCAAGGGGAGACCCGCGCTCGCAGCTCTCCCCCTCCCCCCCCCAGGAGAAATCGATACGCAGAACTCTTAGTCCGGTCCAGCCTGCTCCTTTTCTCCTGGATCTAGTGTGTATCGCTTTCGAGGCACCAGTCGTTGGTGGGGACTATGTGGGGCCGGTGTAGGGTTGTAGAATGGAGCTGCCATAACATGCTTTTTTTTTTTTTTTAAATTTAAAAGCTTGGGATCCGAAGGTGCCACTCGCCCTTTCACAGTCGGGATGGGGAGGGGAGTGTGAGACTCGCCCTCCGCTGGGCAGCTCGGTTCCGGAGGTGCAGGGCCGAGGCCGGGCGGAGAGCGCGCAGTCCCCCTCGCTCCCCCTCCCGCCTGCAGACCCGTCCGGGTCTGTAAGTGGAGCGCAGAGGCTGAGCCCTGGGAGCGAGTTCAGGGAAAGTGGACGGTGGGGGAGGGTTTGCAGGAGTTGTACGGGTTGTTGTTTCTTCTTGTAGGTGGTTAGGTAATGTGGAAAAGCGAGGATGACAGCAAAGCGCAGCCAGATGTGGCCTCGCCAGCGTTGGGGCTGGCAACGATTAGGGGCGGCTAGCAGCCGCTGCCGGGGAAGACTGGCGGGGCGGGAGGGTGGCGGAGCCAAGGACCCGGTGGGCCACGGGGAGGGCAGAGAGCCTCCCGGACCGGCAGTGAGAGGGCAGCAGCGGACCGCGTTGGGCCTGCAGGAGAAGTTACCGGGTGTGGGCTCCTGGGATGCCTTTGGAGTAGGAAACCTAGAGGAGCCTGATTTGTAGGATAGGGGTGCCAGGTTGGGAGTCAGCTCCTAGAATAAGGCGTGGGAAGACCGCGAGGAAAGAGGAGACTTTTGGGCTAACTGACTGTGGCGACCCCCAAGCAGAAGGGCCAAGACAATCCAAACCGCGAAAGCGCCCCTGCAGTGTGGAGGCGCGCTTGCAAGACTCTCGCTTGGGACCAGTAAAGTTTGTTCCTTTCCCTGAACTACGGGGCTTGGATTGAAATCTTCACTTAGGGTCAAAGTATCTCCGAGCAGAAGCTAAGGAACGTATATATGTCTTCCATATATACATATATATTAAATTTTGCGTTTACTTTGTCCTCTAAATGCATAGTTGGAGGGACAAGTCTAGCAGTATCCAGCGGTATCCGTCTTAACCTGTCCCTGTCTTCGAGGGACTCCTCCCCCTTTGTCTTTTCCCTCTTTCTTGCCCCCCTCATTCCATTCTTCCTGATGTAAACTGTGCTGTCTCAGATTCAGACCGAGGAAATGTTTTCCTCCTGTTTCTTGAAAGGTGTCAGGCTGCTTAGCAGCTTCTCTAAGCAGCCTGGGAGCGTCTGAGCTGCAGCCACCAACCATATGGTTCCCGTTACAAAGGCCAGGTTCTGTGGCAGTCGCCTCTTCACTCCACCCCCAATTCTTTGATTTTCTTCTGCATTTTTTACACTATGCGTGCTTCTCCTTTCTTTCCCTCCAGAGGCGTATGTTTAACGGACGTAGTTGGTTCATTCATTTCTCTGTCAGTGTTTCTCTCTGGAACTGGTCCCACCGAATTTGCTCTTTGCTCACCTCAAGTTGCACAATGAAGAAAGTCGCATCCTTTTGGTAAATAATTACCTGTTGGGGAATCTCTTACCAAATCAGGTTTGATCTTGGGCAAACTTTAAAAAATAGGCACTACAGAGGCAATATTCATCCACAGCGGAAAAATAAAATAGTTTATGGGGTGCCTATGGTAACGTTCCAAGTTGGATGGGACTATTTTGACCTAGCTAAAGGTAACTTTGTAACTTTAAATTTAGTATCCTTATTATTCTTGAGAAACACTGTATAAGAAACTCTACTTAAGTTCAGGTGTGTTGTGGACTATTTTGTTTTCTTTCCTTCCACCCTCCAATAAATTTATGCATGATAGAAAGAATACTAACAGAACAAATGTTCTGTTGTTTAGTTTCTTTAGACATTCCAATTCTCTCCTTTTGTTGGTTGCCTCTAAAAGAGGTGCCATTTCACATCATTCTGCACAAATTGTTTGAATTAATGCAAGTGTGAATTCTTACCGTTTGAAGGGGACTATTAGCATATCAAAGGTTTCTTAGCTTCAGCTCAATTGAGAAAACTTCAGCCTGTCTTCCATTTGCTTCCAAGCGGAGGCCCAAAGGGCAATGAGAATTGTAAAGGGTAGAAATAGGGAGGTGGATTCAGGCTAGTGTTTCTGAACTTTTACTGTTTTGTAATTATGTGAGCCAAAAACATTGTCTATTGCTGTGGATCCCTTGCAAGTGGCAAGACAATTATTTTCTATTGATAAATGGTTTGTTCCTAGAAAAAGGGTGACCTTTTATTTTATGATAGTCACTGTTGCCTGTCTTTTGGGGTCTCTTTAGTGGAAGAGAGAGTGAGAAATCCTTTCCATCTAACTTAATGCTTTTCTAGGGCCTTCAGTTTGTTATATTAGTAAAATGAGAAAGGTTTTTAATTAGTCTTATAAAACATTTTTTTGTGATGAAGACAATTCTATGCACAGGAAATGTCTTTAATAGTTGATGAATTAGTAGAGAAAAAAGCCAGCGGAGGACATTTAGAATTAAAAACTCAACATGAACTTTATGAAAACACAACTTCTATTGGAAGTAGAAGGATGGAAAAGTTTTCTAGGTGATAAAGACCCAAATTTTTTATGAATTCTATTTAAATAGAGGCAATTCTGTTTCAATATTGAATTTTGTTTATTTTTTTTTGCATTTTGTCAAACAATTATTATGCTCAAAGTTGTTCTATATTTGTTAATATTTATGGTTTATTTGCTTTGTAATTTTTACATTCTTATAAAGCTATGTTGTTTGAATTCCTTTTAACAACTCAATGTCCATGAATGAAGAAACAAGTAAGAACAAGTAGTTGGGTCATTTAGGTCAGTTTATAGAGAGCAGAGGGGTCAAGGGAGAATAACTTTTATCTTCAATTAGGAAAGGATTAGTTTTCTGAAACCTAGTTTAAAGATGAAAATGAATTTCATAGAAGGTTTGGAGATTTGTAAGTTCATTTATTTTATATAGTTTAACCTTTGAGGGTTGGTTGTCTTTGAATGGGAATTGATATTCTTTTCTTGGAGACTGGATTATTTACTAATATTCAGACTCCTTGGTTTAATTTTAATATTGAAATGAATTCTAATATGACAGTTTCAGATGGGGAAGAGCCATCATTAATTGCCCAACATTTTCATCTTTAGTTTAATAGGAATGGTGATTCTTTTTTTTTTTCAGATTAAGGTGAGGTTTTTATTTTTGTTTTTACTGCCATTCAAATTGTATATCATTACCCCCAAATCATTTTATGATCGTTTATCTGATCACTTCACTTATCTAAGAAGTAATTTAGTGGTTAAAAAAAAAAAAAAACTACATTGATGTAATTGCTGTTATTGCATTTAAGTTGCTGTTAACTAGTCTGCTTTGAATGCAGAGTGTTATGAAGAAAATATATCATCTTTTAGAATTATTAGTGATAATCTAAAAATTGTCTTGAAAACATTGATCTTCATTTTATGGTGATCCTAAATTCAGCAAATCTCTAAAGGTGTAAAATGCAGTGAAAAGAAGATATTTCAACATTTAGATGACAAAATTGGACTACTTAGAGAAAAATTAACATGCTGTAGAAGCACTTCAGCTGCCATTTTCAATCACTGGGTTACTATGTGTTGGCAACAAAACGAATTTAGAAATACAGATAGCTCTGGGAGCAGGTAGTTGGGGGAATTCAGAATATTGAATCATGTGGTGTAGAACAAACCAATTACTTCAAGTTTTGACTTGAGAATTTCCAATAAATAAAATTTATTCCAGGCATTTGACTGCTTTATTAGTGGACTAACACATCAAAGCAGACAACAAAACTTCCAAATGTTATAAAAACTAATATAAATATACAGATCTCACATGCACTACTACAAGTCTTAATTTAAGACAAGCAGTTGGAGTTTTTATTGCTGCAGTTTTCACAATCAACAGAAACGTTAACACCAGGCTTCTGGGTGTTTCCTTTCTTAAAATGAACAAGAGGAGAACTTTAAAACCAAGGTTTACTTAAGGTTAGATCTTTATTTGATCATTACCAAAGCTTTCTATGTTTCATTAAAAAATTTAAAATAGTATTTTAGTGTCTTAAGTAATATGGGAGTATGGGAACTAAAATTCAGCTGTCATGAAGGTCAAGAGGTAACTAGAAATATGCAAACCTTAGTAATAAAATATTATTGCTTTATTTTCTAACAAAATATTTATTTGACCTAACTTTTGTGAATAAATATTTAAATAATAGTTTATTAACAGGTGTGGCATGGAATAAAGGAAGTATTACAATTTGTTTCAATCTATGAGTTAAAAACTCTTCTACCTACCTATGAGAAACCTGTTTTCATTTTAACAAAAATTTTTACCACTTTCTCCGTTACTGATATGTAAGGAACACAGATTAGATGTAATTAGAGTAAGAATGAAATATGGTTTTGGGAATGAAAGAATTTAACTATTTTAACAGAAATGTTCCTCAAAGACTTAACACCTTTGCCTCTTAATTCTTTGTATCTGATTTTGAGTCTTGAAGGGCTGGCTTCACATTTGACACATGCCTGCTTTTCTGCAGAAAAGATTCATGTAAAACAAAAGTGCAATTATTTTTGAGGTAATATGTGTTAAAAATAGAACACATAATTATAAATAGGTTCATAAGATTATTTAGGTAAGCTAGTATGCCTAACTAAAAACTCTGCAAATTGATGATTTTGATAAAGCGCCCAAAATGGCAACTTTAGCTACTAACCCTTAAAAGAACTTGAAATCCTATTAATG